CTGAATACTCAGGAAAATTGAGGATTGGTAATCATAAATTATTTATATGATAAGAAGACTTTTGTATGTAATCATAATTTTCTTTCTTCCATTGCTTACACAGAAAGGGTTGCTACACGAGAAGAAGAATGAGTTTTATGAAGCCCAGACATGTTATCAAAATGCTCTGGCTATTAATCCCTATCACTTGAAGAGCCTCCGACATTTGGTAAGTACTGGATAGAACCTAAAACATAGTGTATGAATTTAGACAAGTTGATATACATACATATACATAAATGCATGGATGCACATGCGCGCGTAGCCCCCCCACAACACACACATATATTTGTATATCTATCTATCTAGCGTCCAAACCTCCTTATAGGTGTAAAAATATCAAGGTATCAGTTTTACGTCAGCATTCTAGATCATGCCATATTGTAGATATGGATATTTTTAATAACGTTATATGTGTCTGTTTTGTGTGGATATGTTTGTCGGAAAATTGCTTATATTAATGCAAGAATATAGTCAGTATTTGAAATGACAAAATTGTACAATATAGAAAACAAATAGCTTGCTGTCGTTGTTATCATAGAAACAATAAAAAGCATTACTTACATTTTTTCTGGATTTGCTACGATCAGGGCGACTGTTATCAGATTTACTTTGAACTTTTTGCCCAGATATTGTTTTTGTGTGTGGTCACGTGATTGCTTCTCCACCGCCATTTATATCATGTACGTCACAACATTGGAAAATAACTATTGTTGGAAATGCAGTTTCATCCAACACGAGTCTGAGACATGATTCGTTTTTCTGGGGCTTCGCAGTTTCATCTATATCAGTTTCTCTTAGAATATCCGTGTTTTTATGAGTAGGCTTTCCCTAAGCTTTTGGAATTCCCCCGTGATATTTGGCGGTGCTCTCGGTTTACGAATCTCATCCGAGGTTTTTTTTACGAGTTCTAAGCTCCGACGGTAAGGCAATCGCGGCGCATCGTTTTTCCAGACGGGGAGGGAGGTCTTCTCAAACGGGAGAGAGTTGTGCAAGGGAATAGCGTTTTTTTTCTTGGCTTTTTTTATGCTCTCTCTCTCTCTCTCTCTCTCTCTCTCTCTCTCTCTCTCTCTCTCTCTCTCTCTCTCTCTCTCTCTCTCTCTCTCTCTCTCTCTCTCTCTCTTCTCTCTCTCTCTCTCTCTCTCTCTCTCTCTCTCTCTCTCTCTTTCTCTCTCTCTCTCTCTCTCTCTCCTCTCTCTCTCTCTCTCTCTCTCTCTCTCTTCTCTCTCTCTCTCTCTCTCTTCTCTCTCTCTCTCTCTCTCTCTCTCTCTCTCTCTCTTCTCTCTCTCTCTCTCTCTCTCTCTCTCTCTTCTCTCTCTCTCTCTCTCTCTTCTCTCTCTCTCTCTCTCTCTCTCTCTCTCTCTCTCTCTCTCTCTCTCTCTCTCTCTCTCTCTCTCTCTCTCTCTCTCTCTCTCTCTCTCTCTCTCTCTCTCTCTCTCTCTCTCTCTCTCTCTCTCTCTCTCTCTCTCTCTCTCTCTCTCTCTCTCTCGTTCATTTTTTTTTTGTCGTTTGTTTTCTGTAGGAGAGGGAGTGGGTCAGTGCTTGGGCCAAATACCGGATTTGCCACAATTGTTGAGGCTTCAAGTCAGGATTTCCTTCAGTTTCTTTGACCGGAATTGCAAATACTAACACAAAAAGAAAATACTGAAGAAGGAAATGAAAAGCAACGAGGTGCGAACAAGGAGTTACCAAGCCAGTCTCCGCCTGTGCATAAGAGCCGGCAGGCATTGTAATTTCGTGTGAGAATCGCCTTTGCAATGCACGTATGACCATTTCGACGTAGTTATGGCGGTCACGTGATCGCACACCGTTCCGCTGGCCCAGTGAAATCTGTAAAATCCGTGTGTCTGTAAAACCCCGATTACCATGCGGTGGCGATCCTCTGAGTAAAGTTCACTCTGGTCTAAAAGGCTCGCACGACCTCCATGCTGTAACGGCCGAAAAAAGAATGGGTCACGATCAGCTGTTGGGACGAGGAAGAAAGTGAGTTTACATGACAAGTGAGTAAGTTTTTTGAGTGAGAAAAGAGTGAATGGCAGCGAGGAGATGGATAAGAGAGGGAGGATTGAATTGGAGAACGAGAATAAAAGATGAAATGGAAGAGGGAAAAACAAAGGAGACGCGGGAAATGCGAGGGATAACGGCGGAGAATGTAATCATTGCGCGCGTTCCGTCGATTTGCATTTGAATTACACACAATGAACATGTTTTTTTCCTTAATATTTTCTTTCGTTTTTGCGGTTTGTTCATATTTTAACTTCTTTTTGTTTTTTTTAAAGTATTATTTAGGAGATTTCACAATTGTGAGACAGGTACACAGACAGAGAGACAGATATACACACGTGTACACACACACATACACACACACGCACACGAGAAAGAGAGAGTGAGAGAGCAGAGAAAGAAAGAAAAAGAGACAGATAAGAGAAAAGTGTCAGACAGATACAGAGGACAGAGAACGAAAGGAAAAGCAAGAAAAGATTGAAAAAAAAAAAAAAAAAAAAACCAAAGCCAGCTGTTGTGCTCCACTCACGGACTTCTTGTCGCATGCCCCGGAGGAACGGGCGCGTGGACACAGGGGGGGGATTACACCGGGCGCATGGACAGGGGGGGAAGGGAAGGTGGAGAGGGGGGGGGGGGATTACACCAGCTGCTGACGGAACGGAACCTTTTGCGCTCCTCGACTGAAGGACTTGGGGCTGCCACGTGGCTGTGCGTCGTGGGTTTGTGTGGGGGTGGGTGGGGGTGTTTTTTGTTGTGTTATTCTTTATGATTTTTGTTTTGTTTTTTCTTGATGATACTTCTAATTTTCTATCCCCATCCTCCTCTTCCACCTGTACAACTTCTGTACTCATCTTCATCTTTCCATCTCTTATCTCCTCCTCCTCTCCCTTCCTTCCATCCACTACATCCTCCTTTCCTCCTCTTTCTTCTTCCTCGCTTAATCTACCTCCTCTCCTTTCCTTCTCTTCTTTTGCTACTCTCTTCATTTTCTTCTGCCACTTTCTCTTTAACCCCCTCCGGTTCTTCCGCTTTCTCCTTCGTCTCCACCCCCTCTCCTCCTCCCTCCTCCTCCTCCTTCTCCCTCTCTCCTCCTCCTCCTCCTCCTCCTCCTCCTTCTCCCTCCTCTCCTCCTCTCCTCCTCCTCCCCTTTCCCCCTTCCCCACCCCCTTCTTCATTCCCCTTCATTCCCTCTTCCCTTCACTTTCTTTCTCCTCTTCCCCTCTTTCCCTCTTCCTTCCCCTCTTTCCCCTTCCCCTTCCTCCTCCCCTCCTCCTGCACTCCCCACCTCACTATTTTCAAACGTGAATAAACATATGATTGGTTTACGCAAGCCAAAAAAAGTTGATTATGGCATCTTATTTTTGGACTTTTGAGCTGTCGTGAAGTTAGTGACCCCGAAAATGGTAAGAAAATGATATTATGCTGCAAGAATTGTATGTACATTGCAATTTTGTTCCAGAAAGAACATAAGGAAAAAAAGAAAACGAAATTGTGAAGTGTAAACAACCGAAGAATGAGAAAACGGAGGCCATTGGGCTTATTGGAGGAGGAACTATCTTAAAAGAGACAGAACGGTGTCGCTAATGATACCAATAAAGGAGGCGATGGAGCGAGGATGCTGAAGTAAGCGCTGTAAATTCGCAAAATGAACAGAGGTTTTAAAAAGGTTCGAATGGGAAGAGGGGTAAAGAGTTAAGAGGTGGAGAAGCCGTTTGGGAAAGAGTTTTTGGAACGGGGAAACAGGATCTGAATTGGGATCTCTCTTCTTCTCTCTCTCATTTTCTCTCTCTCTTGTCTCTCTTTCTCTCTCTTCTCTCTCTCTTTCTCTTTCTTTCTCTTCTCTTCTCTCTCTCTTCCTTTTCTCTCTCTCTCTCTTCTCTCTCTCTCTCTCTCTCTCTCTCTCTCTCTCTCTCTCTCTCTCTCTCTCTCTCTCTCTCTCTCTCTCTCTCTTCTCTTCTCTCTCTCTCTCTCTCTCTCTCTCTCTTCTCTCTTTCCTCACTTTTCTTCATTCTCCCCCTTTAGGTTTTGGACTTTTGATGTCAGGGAGTTTGTGTGAGAGAGAGAGAGAAAAAATGAAATTAAAGAAAAAAAAGAAAAGAATGAGGTAGCGGAGGAGGATAATTATGAAAATTATATGATACTAAGAGTTAGCAACGACGGTTCTAATGTATATAATTAAACACACACACAACACACACACACACACACACATCACACACACACACACACACACACACACACACACCACACATCACACTACACACACATATATATATATATATTATATATATATAGTATATATATATATATATATATATATATACTATATATATATATATATATATACATATACTATATATTATTTATATATAATATATATATATATATATATATATATATATATATATATATTATAGCGGTAATATTAGCAATGATTCAGCAAGCAAGGCACACAGAAAATGGGTTAAAGCGCAACAAAACCACGGCCAGAAAATCCCCCTCGCGGCGTGGAATCACTCCAGAGGGAATCCCTTGCGGAGGAGGAGTCTCGCATCATGGAAATCCTGCATTCCTACCCACCCCCCACCTTACCCTACCCCTTCCCCCGCCCCCTCTCGGAGTCAAACGATTGGCAAATCCCGAATCCTCCTCGGTCGTAAGCCGGGCGGGCGGTGGGTGGGTGGGGTTGGGGTGGGGGTAGAGGTGGATGGGCGGTGTGATAAGGTGGGCGTGTGGATTTTGTGGGGGAGGTAGGGGCGAGGGAGAGGAGGGGGCGGAAGGGGACGAGGAGGGAGGGAGTGGGGGATGGGGTCTTGTGGGCGTGCGTGTGGATATTGTGTGTGGGGGGGGAGGGGCGAAGGGGTAGGAGAGGGAGGAGGAAGGGGGCGAGGGGAGGGGAGGGATGGAGGTGGGGATGAGCGGTCCGTACGGATGGCGTCTTGTGGTGCGGCGGAGAGTAATGGCGCGCTTTTTGTTTTCCCTCGGATTTTAAATGCCATTGTCCTTTCTCTTTTCTTTTTTTTTTTCATCTTTTTTTTTTTTTTTTTGGATTTCGTCTTGCTGCAAGGGTGAGCTTTTGTATTCATATTTCTTTTTTTATTATTTGTTTGTTTGTTTGTTATTTTTTTAAGAAATGGGGTTTGATTTTTTTTTTTTTTTTTTTTTTTGTTCTGAGGATGTAAACGGTTCCTTCTGTATTCTGTTTCCCCTTCGGGTGCTTTCTGCTCTCTTTCCTCTCTTCTTTCTGTGTGTCTGGCCCCTCTCCTCTGCCCTTCTTTCTCTCCCCCTGTTTTTCTCTTCTGTCCTTCCTTCTCTCTCTTCTCGCCTCTCCCCTCTCTCTCTGTTCTGTCTTCTTTACCTTGTTCTTCTCTTCTCGCTGTTCTGTCTCTTTCGTCTTACTTCTGTCTCCCTCTTCGTCTCTCCTTCGCCCTTCCTCTCTCTCCCTGTCCTCTTTCCGCCCCCTTTCCTTCCTCTCTTACCTGTTTTCTCTCTGCTCCTTCCCCCCTTCTCTCTCTCGTCCCCTCCTTCTCTCTCGCTGTTCTTGTCTCCTTTGGCTCTTCCTCTCTCTCCGTGTCCGCTCTCCTTCGCCCTTCCTCCTTTCTCCCTGATTTCTTCCCGCCCTTCCCTCTCTCTCCCTGTCGTCTCTCCTTCGCCCTTCCTTCTCTCTCCCTGTTTTCTCTCCTCCCTTCCTTCTCTCTCTCGCCTCTCCCTCTCTCTCCCTGTTCGTCTCTCCTTTCGCCCTTCCTTCTCTCTCCTTCCTCTCTCCTTTCGCCCTTTCCTTCTCTCTCCCTGTCCTCTCTCCTTTGCCCTTCCTTCTCTCTCCCTGTCCTCTCTCCTTCGGCTTTACCTCCTTTCTCCCTGATTTCTTCCCGCCCTTCCCTCTTTCTCTGTCGTCCTTCCCTCTCTCTCCCTGTCCTCTCTCCTTCGCCTTCCTCTCTTATATATTCTCCCTCTGTCTGTCAACGATGTCGAAAGAGGAAGAAGCTTCGATCTTCGCCTAAGCCTCCTTTTCCGCCGAGGACAATCCACCCTTTGCTCTTCCCTTCCTCCCTCCTCCATCCTCCATCTTCCTCTTCCCTCCCTCTCCCTCTATTTTATCTTCTCTCTCCCCCTTACCTCTCCCTCCTCCCTCTCCCTTCATCTCCCCTTCCCCCTCCCTCTCCCTCTCTCCCTCCCCCTGCCTCTCTTGCCTTTCCCCTGCCTCTCCCTCTCCCACTATCTCTCTCTTTCCCCTTGCCTCTTCCTCTCCTCTCCCACTCCTCCCAATGCCTACTTTTCCTTCCTATCTTTTTCCATTCAAAAACTCCTTGTGCCCTCCTCCTCTTTTTCTCATCAATCTTCTCCTTCTCCTCCTCTCCTCCTCCTCCTCCTCTCTCTCCTCCTCCCTTTCCTTTTCTCCCCTGTCCGTTCTCTTATTTCTCCCAAGCTCCTTCTCCCCTTCTTGTAGCCTCTCCTCCCACTCCCACTCTTTCATTCCACCTTCTCCCTTTCTCTCCCCCACATCCCTCTCCCTTTTTCTCCTCTTTCATTCCTCTTCTTCTTTTCACCTCCCTCATCCCTCTTCTGTTTTTGCCTCTCCCTCCCCCACCCCTTTTCTCCCTCCTGCAGTATCCCCACCCCCCCCCCTTTCTTTATCCGTCGACCTCCGAGATTGTATGCCCGCCTGAATGGGCACGTGGCGAAGGGCATAAGTGATCGTCTGTGGACCTTTGCCGGAGGGAGTTGGGGGGGAGGGTTGGTTAAGGGGCTCCCTGGAACCCTCCTTCTCCACCCTGCCGATCCTCAGGCCCCTTCCTTTTCCGCGGGCCCTCCTGCCCCTGCAGAAATCCTTTGCCTTTTTCAGATTTTGCTTTGTGCCAGTATTTACTGGTTGAGGGGGATTTATTATTCATTTATTATTGTTTGTTGTTATTATTGTTTGCCGTTGTTGTGTTTATTTAGTTATTTTCATTATCTATTTATTATTATTTACCATTTGTTGTTGTTTTTGTTGGTTATAATTGTTATTGCTATTGCTCTTAATTGTGTTTTATTTTGGATTTAATTTTATTGGCTATTGGAAACTAAATTTTTATTTTAATTTAATGTTTAAGTTTAGAGGTATTATTTGTTATTAATTCCTATTTCAGCATTATCGTTGTTGTTTGCTTTACCCATTGGTATGTTGAGTGGTTTTTCCTTTTAGACCCTCTCGACCATTAACGTTGACCGGACTTATCCCCCAGCCCCAGGTCTTGCCCCAGTCTTTTTGGCCTTGCCCCACACACGGCACTCCCGATTTTTTGCGCACCGTCGTTTACACTGTTCTTCTCCGCCCCCCCATTGGCACAACGCCCACTCGCCGCCCACTCCTCTCAAGGCCGCTAAAGCCCAAGTGTTATTTGAACGGTTGCTGCTCAGGGGCGGACACAGGAAAAAAAAAAAGGGTGGAGGGGGGGGGCCAGGCAGTGATCGCAA